TCATGACCTGAGCTGAAGGCAGACGCTCAACAACTGAGCCACCCAGGCGCCCTGTCAAAAAGGAATCTAAAGGGATAGAGTGAGAGTTGGCTCTGCCAGGAGGAACACTGATGGGCCTTGGGCTGGGGCTACTGTCTTTATCATTTCAGGGGCCATTTGCGACTTTTAAGATGCAGTACGATCGGACTTGTGAGTGGACAGGACTTAAGTTCAGCAATGATGGTAAACTCATCCTCATCTCCACCAATGGCAGCTTCATCCGTCTCATCGATGCATTCAAGGGAGTGGTGATGCACACCTTTGGGGTGAGCTGACAACCTTTGAGCATGGCTATTTCCATGCTTCTGCCTCCTGGGCTGAGATTTATGGTAGCTGGTTGATGGAGACCAGCAGTTATCCTGGACTCACCAGTGGAGGCACGGCTTGCGTTTTCATTCTGAACATGAACTTCTCTTGGACTCTGAGACATTCACTTCTCACATAGTGACCCAAGTTTGGAGTTTAGATACAAAATAATTCTTGACCAAAATAATTTTCTTGCCGCATTGAATACAGAGTTGGAGATGGGGTTGAATTGTAAAGGGTGGCAGCCTTGTGTGGAACATTGGTGATGCTATGCATGAAGAGGAGAGGGTTTCATGGAAAGGAAGGTGATGTGTGTGCTGGCTCAGTGTTTGCAGGTAATTATGTTAACAGGGCTGTGATAAGAGAACTGTTCTTGTTTTTAGGGTTATGCCAACAGCAAAGCTGTCACTCTGGAGGCCTCGTTTACTCCAGACTCCCAGTTTATTATGATCGGTAAGCTTGCTTTATCCCCCTTAGGGGTTATTTCTCTGGTACTGTGCATTTATTTGTGTTATTTTTATTAGTTTTAACTAATTAAGATACTATCCTTTTGATAGACATTATCAGATTTCTGTATAACAGCACGTTATGCCAATGGTGTAGTGTCTTTATCCTGATTTTGCAGTTCCTTACCGGGAACTGGCATTAATAATGTTGGTCTTCCCTGGACCAGCATGAGTTAAACTCTACAAGCACGGTCTTATTAGTAATACTAACTTCCTGATTTAACCCTGCATTTGGTTGTCAGTGGCCCGATGTTGGTAGAATGTGATGGTATTCAGCCCCGTTGAGAAAACTGAAGTTAGAGGAGAAATGACATGCTCAGGAACAAATAACTGAGAGTTAAGATCAGTTTCCTTTCTTCCCACTGCCTCTCCTCCCTCAATTTCTGATGAGGGGCCAGGTCCTGAAGCTTGGCTTTTCTCCAGATGTCAATTTGTGTCTTTCCCATTTGTCTTTGCATTGCACCTTGAGCTGTTGTATTTTCCTTTATCATTCCCTTTAGGTTCAGAGGATGGCAAGATCCATGTCTGGAATGGAGAGAGTGGTATAAAAGTAGCTGTGTTGGATGGCAAACACACAGGCCCCATTACCTGTTTGCAGTTCAACCCCAAGTTCATGACCTTTGCCAGTGCATGTTCCAACATGGTATGTGAGCATGGGAGATGTGTTCCATTTAGGGACCCTTTCTAGTTGGGGTGGTGGGTGCTTCAGTGAGCACAGCAAGCTGTGTTCTATATAGGTATGTGACAAGCCTCCGGTTCTAACTCCTCAACTGGTGGCTTCTCTGGTCCACCTATTATCTGATCTCTGGTTGGACTAGTCTTCCCCCCTCCTTTTTTAAGATTTATTTATTTATTTCCGGGGGGAGGGGAGAGGGAGAAGCAGACTCCTCGCTGAGCAGGGAGCCCGGCTCAGGGCTTGATCCCAGAACCCTGAGATCACGACCTGAGCCGAAATCAAGAGTCAGATGCTTATGGACTGATCTTTCACTTTTACTTTTACTCTTCTTTTCCTGATCTGAGATCACCTCTGTTCTGCTGGGAGATCTCAGGCCAGTTTTTGCTGTGGCCCCTGGTTTTATGCCCAAACTACTTGGGACTACACCTCATAGTTTTTTGGCCTTTTCTTTTCCTTTTAAGATTTTATTTATTTGAGAGAGAGCGCGTTCGCACGAGCGAGGGGGAGGGGCAGAGGGAGAAGGAGAAGCCGACTCCCCGCTGAGCAGGGAGCCTGATGTGGGACTCAATCCCAGGACCCCGGGATCATGACCTGAGCCGAAGGCAGACGCTTAACTAACCGACTAAGCCACCCAGGCATCCCGTTTTTTTGGCCTTTTAAAAAAATACTTTGAACCAGCCTTTTGTGGCTGCAAACTCTCAGTGTGCCGTTTCTTTCAGTTTATGCTGAGTTCCTCAGAAAATCATACAGTTGATCATAACTCACTACTTAGAATTTCCTCTAGGCCCCTGTCTCTTCCTAGGCCACGCTAGCAGAACAAAGCGAAGTGTGTCTCAGTCTCAAGTTTCTTTTTGGCATCTCTTAAATCTTCCTGGGTATTTGAGGATGAGGGATTTCGCTTCTAGCCTATCCAGAACACATTGCCCCCTTGGCTCTTTTTTTTTCCCTTTTTTTCCAACTAAGGAAACCGTGTCAGAAGGAAATGCAGCAAAACCATCTAGTTCAATTCTTCTCACTTTTTTACAGCTCAGGAAGGAGAGGGCCTGTTGGAGGTCACCTGGCAGATTAGCAATGAGTCCAGGTTACCCAGACACCCACCTTCCAGACAGCTTTCCTGTTTTTCCTTACCACTGGGCCATTGGCATGGAAGGTAGACAGTGTTGAAGACAAGACCAGCTTGCTTTCGCATGGAGGGGGTGTTTCTCCCTAGATTGCCAGAATTGATTGGCCATGAGGGAAGGCCACCAGCCAAAATTCTTCCACCGTTGGGGTTGGGCACCTTGATGCTATGGGGAGGGGTAAGAACCCTCAGCAGTGAGGAGAGAGGCTTGGCTTTTAAAAATTGACTTCTGTTTCTCCTTCCAGGCCTTCTGGTTGCCCACCATTGATGACTGACCCTGGTGCTGCTCGGCTGTTTGTGTACAGTGAGGGTGGCCAGCAGGAAAGAACTCAGAGGGGACTGAGATAATGGATTGGATCATTTGGGCTGGAGAGCATCCTTCCACATGGCCTTCCCATGGATGTGCTGTACATCTGCTCAAAAGAAAAAAAGTACTTTGCCGAGCTTCTTCAAAAAGACTCTTGGTGTGGCAGATTCTATCAGGACTTAGATTTTACAGCTGTCACTGCACTGAGCTCCTCCAGAGGAGTGACCAGATTCATGATTAGGGTATACTGGGGTCCTCAAGACGCCTTCAATTTTGAATGTATTTGCTGCTGAGGAGCCGGTGAAGTTGTTAATTCTGCACATCCCTTCTCCCACCCCCATAAATGCATGGGAAGCCACAGTTCTGGTTTTGAGATGCTAAGGGCAGCTCAGCACCCCTTGCCCTCACCCTGCATGTCTTGTTACTGGGTCTCCCTCTGTCATTGTGGCATTATTCCACAACCATCATGTTACTTAGGTGCCAAACATTTACAGAAAAAATTCTTCATATATCTTGGGGTAAGAAAGGGATAGATACAGAAAGAAGGACCTTGCTTGCCAGGAAGCCTTGTGAGTTAGTCATGTGAGGGTGGGTGATCTGGGCATGCCTCAGGGCTCTGAGTGTTGGGTGGGAAATGGCCCAAGAGCCTGAAAGGGAGGAAGTAGGGGTTGCAGGTAGTTTCTATGGCTGGGAGGTTTAGCAGTAGCCTAGTGTGATCCCCCGTCATCAAGACAAACCTGCGGTCTTTCTGGGTGCCTGCCAAGCTTGGTTTTGTACAAAAGCAAGGTGGGAGTCTATTTTTGTACATGAGTTACATCACGCTTTCCTGTGGGCCAGTATTGTGGAGTGAGTCTGAGTTGTTTACACTGATGCCTTCCCTGCCCACCACAAATTGTGTACAGAGTCTCCAGATGATAGCACCCCTTCCCAGCTCCCAAGCAAGAGCTGGCTCTAGGCCTGTGTTATATGTTCTATTTAGCCTTTTTATATATGACATGGGGTTTTTGTTGTTTGTATTTTAGCACAGTGTGTACACCTTCATTTAAATATATCCGTGTGTGCATACATACATATGTATATGTATGTATGCATATATATATATGTATATAGAATATGTCATTTCTCACAGTTCAGCAGAAGGCGGTGGAGTCCGGCAGCCCAGGAGAAAGACTGAATCCTTGCTAATAGTGTTTGCCACAAGTGTTAGTGAGTCTTCTTTATTACCCTTATTTCTTTGGGAGACAGAACGAAGCAAAGCTTCAAGTGTTTGCTGTTTCCATGGCAGCTAAACGAGGGTCTTGGGATAACTTCCCTTGTGTTCCTCAAGCCGCACTTTGGGGCCCTTTCTGCAGTATTAGCCCCTTTTTGCTCGGTGATGCTCTGTCTGCGCCTGTACATGTTGACAGTCACTCTTGCATGCCTTTTGTGCCTGGCTTCTGGTGTCTGGGGACACGATGCTGGAACCAGAGCATTTTCAGTTTGTCTGAAGCTTCTTTTCCAATTACAGGTCATTCCTGTTTACCTGGTATGTCTGCTGCTTTTCCTTGCCTTCTCTTGGAAGGGGGAGAGGTCTTGATCAGGGTTGCGATGAGCTAAGGCTGGCTCGTGGCCTTTCCTTCCCCTGCATGGCCTTCTTAGAGCAGGACCAGTGGCATATTATTTCACTAAGTTCCCAAACATGTAAGCAGGTCACATGTTCCCTGCAGATACAGAAACAGGCTCAACGAGGTTATGACTTGCCCAAGAGTACATAGCTGCTAAGGGGAAGCAAGCCATTAACTGCCTTCATTCAGCAGCAGGAATACGCTGTGAGTTGCTAGCAATTACAGTTTTGTTTTGTTAGCAGTTACTTTTGACTTGTTCCTCAAACTTAAAGGGCAAGGGGCATACATCTTTCCAAAACGTAGACTGGAATCTGCAGCTTTTCTCCAGTGCCACCCACTATCTACAGCTCTGCCTTCTCAAGAGTGGAGGGATTTTTAGAAACCAGGTGATCTGAGCTATTACTGCCCACTTCTGGCTCTCCAGGGTAGAGAATTCATGGTAGGAATAACTGTTCAGAGTGCTTGAGACTGTGGGTTTACAAGAAGAGCTGCGTAATGAACATACCTGCAACCACAGCAGCCACTTGCCTGTCAGCAAGGAAGATGATTTCTATTGAGTTACTGGTGTCCAAAGCTAAGGTACCATGTCCTTTGAAATATGCACGGCACTGCCTGTCTTTCTAGGGACCCATGGCTACAGAGCTGGCTCTCCTGAGTGTGCAAGGAGAGGAAAGGGCTGGAAGTGACTGGGGACGATGTGTGGGAATAAGGCAGAACAAAGGGAGCAGAGGGGCTGGGGCTGCAGGGATGCTCTCCATGGAGCCAGGGGTACCCTAGCTCTCGGGGTGGGAGGGGGCACAAACCATGCTCTTGAGAGTCCAGGCCAAAGCCACCGATTTGTATGTGACACTGCACTGCTCAACCACCAGCCAGTGGGGTGTTGTTTTTTTTATTTTTTATTTTTTTTTTAAGAAAAAAAAAACTTCCTGTTGCAATCATAATTAATGCTTATTGAGGAAATTTGGGGAATTTTAAAATGAATCAGTTTGCCACCCAAATGCTACCACTGTTAATCTTTTGGTGTTAAATGTTCTAGATATTTCTGTGCATAGGTTTTTGGTGTGTTTACATAGTTGTTATTCTACTGTATATACAATTTTATGTCCCTTTTGTACTTAACATATAAACATTTTTTCCATGTTAACAGTCTTAAAACAGAATTTTATGGCTGTAGCCTCTCTGTTGTTGAGTTTCCATAGCCTTGTTTGCCTGGTTCCCAGAGTTGGAGGGAGGGGTGGGTCGTCTCCTGTCAGTCCTCCTGACTCACTCTGGGACTCATGATAATGCTGTGTGGATGGATTGTTGGGCTCCCTGGGACTGTCCCCTGCCTGTCCCTGGTGACCAAGGCCTGGGGGCTGGTGGGAAGACCTCCTAGACCCAGACCTCAATGCCTCGCAGCCTGGGTCTCAACCACAGGTGCTAATAAGCAGCCACAGGACCAGAAATGAGTGGGAAGAGCCAACCGGAGCCAGCACTGAAGTAGCATTTCAGACTCCCTGGCATGTACCTTAGGCTGCCTTTCATCCCCCATTGTTACCTCAACGCTTGATCAGATTGGCAGCCTCTGGCTGGAATAAAGTTTGGCCCGCTAGGCCCTGGCTTCTGTGGGGCAGGGAGAATGGGGCCTCTTCTTTGGCTCCTGCACTAGTTCTGGCAGAGGGCCTGGCCAATAGCTTGATAACCCATTGCCTGGCTGGTGAGTTGGCAACTCCTAGAGCCCATGCACTAACTCAGTGTCCTCAGAGCTGCCTGCCTCTTCTTGGCCGCCTCTGAACCAGAGAAGACACCCTTGGGCCTGCCACTTTGCCCATGGTCGTTGGAGGTTGGCCAAGGATTATGAAGAGCAGCAGAGGGAACATGCCAGCATGTGAGTGATGATAGGCCATGCACAGGTTCTTCTGGCAGACGGCTCAAGGAGAAAGAGGCCTGGTGGGAGGCCTGCTGCAGCCTTTGGCTCTGCTGAGACGCATGAACACACAGGTCAGTGTGGCTGACCCTGCAGTGGTCACTCCCGCCAGTTTGACGTGCTTGCAGTTGAGAGACCAGGTGCCCACCCCCTGGCCTTGTGTGAGGAGCAAGAGCAGAGACAGCGGGCCGCCAGGGCGAGCTGCCTCCGCAGCTGATGGGGGTGAGAGGCAGGCACAGGATGCTGCCCACACTGCTGGGGGGCAGGGGTGGTTGCTGAAGAGAGGAAGTCAAAGTGCAGGCTGCTAAGGCGCACTCCTGCGTTGACTAGCCACCTAACTAGAGCAGTCCTGGAGAGGCTGCCAGCACTTTGGGGGTCCCCAGGGCGTCAGGGCCTAGCTGTGGCCAGACCGAGGCCCAGAAGTGCCGAGAAATTTGGTAGTTTTCCCTATCCCTTCCCTGGAGAATGTATAGGAAATGGGAGTCTAAAATGAGTTAACGAGGGGCGCCTGGCTGGCTCAGTAGCGCATGTGACTCTTGATCTCAGGGTTGTGAGTTCAAGCTCCACACTGGGCATGGAGCTTTCTTTAAAAAAAAATAAATGAGCCAATTAAAAAATAAAAATAAAATGAGCTAATGGGCAGGAAAGGGGGCCTGAGAGCCTCCCCAGTAATCTAAACATGAAAGTTTTACCATCAGTTCTGGTGCCTCTTAGCCCATGTCCCTCCTGGCCCCCATCTAGGGTTGTGAGTTGCCTGAATAGAATTTATCCCAGTTGTAAACTAAAGTAGGAGTGTGAGGCTGAGATCATAAAGGTGGTCACCTTGTAATTCAACAAATGCTTCCGAGCACCCGGGCCTTGGCAAGTGCTAGGTGATGACAGTCTTGTGGGGAAGGTGGAGAACTAAGCTGTTCATCAGACAGTAAGCCCTGGAACATGGTGATTTGTCTCCAGCTAATTCTTGGTTTATCGAAGTAGGCGTGCAAAACCAAGTTAAAGGCACTCCTGGTACATCAAGCCCAGAGCTCACGGATGGTGGTAGAGACTTTTTTGTGTCCTAGACCACAGTTCTCACTGGGGCTCACCCCATGCTGGGGACTAGGGAGGCCCTCAGAGAAAACGCAGTCCTGACTATAGGCAAACTTGCAAGGGGGAGCGGAGACCAATTCTTTGGAAAGTAACAAGAAAGAGCAAAAAGTGTACTATAATGCCAAGCTTTACAGCAATCCATGATCCACAAGGGCTCTTCAGCACACAAACATTTAATAATAGGGAGGTGATGGGGAGCAACAAAACCAAACGCATTGCTGGCACATCAGCCTATGGCAGGGCTGGGGCCAGGAGGAAGTGATCAGGGGACATTCCCGGCTCAGCAAACTCTGGGGCTCCTCTTGCCTCTTTCTGTTCTGCCCCAACTTTAGCCCCCTGAGCCTCTGCCTCCCCTCCAGTGGCAGAAGGGGGCAGGGCAGGACCTGGGCTGGTCTCTCCCAAGGGGCTGATTCAAGATGTCTGTTGAGCAGATAGGAGGCTACCCACAGCTTCCCATAAGGCACCTTGCATGGGCTTTGGGGGTTATTGAGTAACTACCCTGACATTCATGGGTTGGAGACCTGGATCCAAAGAGGCTCTTCTGCCCCTCCTGGCATTCGTGGCCAATGCCCTTAGTCCGGCTGTCCCCATCTGGGAATAACGTTGGGCTGCTAAGACCCTGTCAGAGGAGCACCCCCCCCACCCCACCCCCGCCCCGGGTTTCCTACATTGTAAAGGGAGGTTATTGATATTGCGCTCTTGCCTTGCCTGCCAAAGGGCGGACCTGGGGAGCTGGGCTCTCCATACTCTTCCTGCCTTGGCTGCCTGGTATAAACGCTCTCCTTGAAATAGGCTGGGGTGGGGGATCACCCCATTGTGTCTGGGGCAGGGCAGGTAGGCCTGCTGTTGACCATGATGGAGGGATGCCCAGACTACACCTGGCCCCAGAGTGGTTCTGGGATGTAGTGTCTGAATTCCTCAGTGGCCGCCGCTCCTCTGGCCCTGGCTGTGCAATGGAATCACGAACACTGAGATGTCGTCGTAGGACACCTGCCCGTCCCCTGTGGGACCGTCATCCTTTCCCTGCGTGCTGTGTATCAGCCTTTGGGCCAGCTCCGAGAACCTGTGGGGGTCATCCTACAGATGCACTTCGGAGCCACAGCAAAGAGGCAAGGGCCCCCCCTCAGGGAGAACTTGCTGCGGAGGGCTGCACACGTGGGAACCCAAACAATGCAGTCCAGCTGTGGAGCCAGGCAAGCCACAAGCATGGGAGGGCCACAGGCTGGACCACGGAGATTTTTGGTCCTGGGGATTTTGGAACCCAGAGATTTTGGGGACCCACAGTCACCCCCCCCAGAAGCGTGAGACAGCTCCACTCCTGACCACATGCCCCGAGCCGGGCTCATCATCAGCACTGTCCGCTTAGCCACAACCACATCCTGGTGTCGCTACTGGTACCAGGCAGGTCCCCAGAAGCTACAGTACCTGTGTGGGTCCTCTCGGTTGCCAGGGAGGAAGCTCCGTACTAGCCGTGCCACCTGCTCATTGGACAGGACATCCCAGAGACCATCAGTTGCCATGACAACCACATCCTCCTCCTGCAGCTCCAGCTGGTCCACATCCAGTACAGTGACCTGCAAGTTAAGCCTGAGGATCCCTCAGCACTCCCTTCCCGGCTCCCGCCAGCCTCATCATCTGCTTTTCTGGGCAGATGGAAGCTGGTGTGGGCTGTTGCCCGCTCACCTGTGGGACAGAGAGTAAGAAGGGCTTGAGCTGAATGTTTGTGTCCAGGACTCTGAGCTGATGGTCTCCCAGGCCCCGGGAGACAGCCAGTGTTCCCAGTAACCGAGCCTGGGGACAAGGGAGATGTGAGGTGACAGCAAACAGCCCCAGCCAATGTGCAAATAAAGCACACAGAAGCGTACTGTGGCCCTCAGGGGCCCTGGGTTGAGGGACAAACATCCTGTAGCCTTGGAGGAAACCCCGAGACCCAGGCCACAGCCCCCAACAAGGAAGAAAGGAGCTCCCACCTCTGCAGGGGGCGATTTAAGAGGGGCTCTTCGAGGGGGCCATTCACTGACCTGCCTACCCTGCCCATGGATCAGTGGGTACTTGAGATCCGACTTCTCCACGCACTTGTAGCTCCTACCAGGAGCAGACCCAGCATCAACCCAGGCCCCACCCAGCCCCTCACCTCCCCGCACCAGGGAGCCCACCCCGCCCAGGTGGAGGAGGACGGCCCCAAGGCCACACACTGGGCCTGGACACCAGGGCTCTCCCCACTGTCTCCAATCCCACCTCACTCACCAGCCTCTCATGTGGTGATCCCGGAACAAAACCTTCTGCCCCAAGTCATCCCCCTTCAGTCGCCGAGGGAACTCCAGTCGGGTGAACTCACCTGCCAGAAGCTCGGGGTAGACGAAGGCCTGGGGTAGGGAGGACAGGCACAGATCAGGCTCTCTCTGGTGGCCTCTGGTGACTCTGGACTCACAAGTTGGGGCTCCACAGCCTCCCTCTGCCAAAGGCACCTACCAGCTGCTGGATCCGCTGCCGCTCAGTCTCCGGGGTGAACTCGGAGCTCAGGGGCCGAACCTCATCTTTCCGTACCAATATGGCCCTGGACGGGGTTGCCAAAGAGAGGGAGAGGTCTGTGGGGCAGATTCCACCCTCGTTCATGGCCTCCCTCCTGTCGGCCCCTCCTCCAGCCACCAGGGGACCAGCTCTGCCCCCCGCACCCCACCCCCGTGACTACCTACAGCCTGCAGAGTAAAGGCTCAGCCCTTGGGCCTGGCGCTCGAGGTGTCTGCCCTCCCTGGCATCTGCTGCCCACTCACACCTGACACGCCAGGTCCACCCAGCCAGTCAATCCCCATTTCCATCCCTCCACTTCCAGCCCCCTTTCACTGTCCCCCTGCCCCTGGTGCCCGCCGGCCCGCACCACCACACCTACCCTCCAGCTCTTACCTGCTGTCCCCAGCATTGGCCACATACAGCTTGCCCTGCAGGGACACAGCCACCAGGGCCGTGCAGCCGCCCACCTGGCCTGAGGCCTCCAGCTCCCGCCCGATCACCTCATCCTGGGGTAAACCGAAGCCACCTGAGCTGCTGCCGGTAGCCCGACCACGCCACTCCGCCCCCAGTCCCCAGCCCACCGTTCACTTCCCCACCAGCCAGCCTGGCGGTCCCCACCCAGAGTCTAGTTCTGACTCCAGGATCCCTGTGGTC